GGCCAGCGCTCCGCGTGGAGGCGGCAAGCGCGTTCATACTGGCGGTCTACGGCGCCGCCCCCTGCCTCCTCCTCCTCATCCCCTCCTTCTCCTCCTCCTCCTCCTCCTCCTCCTCCTCCTCTTCGTCTTTCTCCTCAGCCGGTCCTCTCGCATGCTCGCCGACGCGCCCCAGAACATCCGAGCCTCCGCCGGCCAACTTGGGAGCGGCCAGAGAGCCAGACGCAGCACTCAGAAGTGTGGTCCGCTCAGTCCGCGCGCGAAGCAGTCCACTGGAAGGTCTCGCCGCTCTGGTTGGTCGCGTGGACTTTCGGTGTGGGGGGGAGGGGGGCTAACGCACCCCCCCAGAGAGCGCCTGGTCAGGCCGTGGCAGCTCGCCGCACCCTCAGCCGCAGCTCGGCGCTCGAGATCGAGGGCCGCCGCGACAAAAGGGCGCCCAGTTGCGGTGGCGGCAGCTACAGCCCAGGGATCAATGCACCAGGACTGGAAGATGTGACAAGGAGCTGGAGACAAACGTCGCCAGTACAGTCGGAAGAACGCAGCTGGATAACGACGTCTTCAGCTACAGCTCTGGACGCCGCGCGCGAGAAAAAGAATACAGCTGTGCGAGGCGACTGGAACCCCACAACTTTTACTACAGCCTTGGGATCAACAACCTGGGAATCGATGCCGCGTGGGAGAAGACGCTGGCGACCAACGACTTCAGCTACAGCCCAGGGGCAAACGCACTTGGAAATGGATGCATATGTGAGGACAGCTGGAGCACGACGACTTCAGCTATAGTACGGGGGTCAGCAGACCACGAGAAATCGCTGCGATGATAAGTTTAATCCCAACGTCTTCAGCAGCAGTACAAGTAGATGTGAGAAGAAGCTGGAGCCCAACCGCTTCAGCTATGGCCTCGGGGTAGGCGGTTAACGAATTGAAACTTACATGTGTGATAAGAAGGGCCCTGACGCCATCAACTACACACAATGGGATCAACGACCGAGGCTGGACGCAGGTGTGAGCGGTTGGAGCCCACAGGTCTTCAGCTACAAGCCTCGGATCAACGCCTGGGAATGGACGTCGATGCGCCCCTGTGCAAAGGACGAAGAGTTGGAACCCAGCTCCAGATGAAAGCCACGGCGCGAGGAGGGGGAGCAGGCGGGAGGAGGGAGAGGAGGAAGGCAGGGACGCGGCATTCGGAGCGCCAGCCCTGCGAGCAGTACGGCCCCCGGCGCTGGGGCCTCCTCTAGCCCTCTGGCGGCCGCCAGGCGGCGGCGGCGGACATGTCGCAGGCGTACGTGCAGAAGAACACGGCGAACTGCAGTATCCGCCCGCCGCGCCCACGGCAAAACGCATGGCGCGCACCTCTAGCACACAAACTCACTGCTTGGGGGCCCGCGCTGGTGAAGACTCTCGTTTTCACAACTTCGCGATGGGCCCTCGGCTCAGCAGCCAGCCAACATCGCCTCCTCGCGCGTCGTCGACAAGAAATGCCGGTGGTGCTGTCGTTGTTCCCAACCACCGCCCACGTGGATCGCTCCCGATCCCCCCCCCCGCCCCCGGACCCCCATCGCCCTCCCCCTCCCCCACTCGTCTCCTGCCCAGCCCACCCTTCGCAGGCGATGACGGGGACGAAGCTGCGTATGGGGTTGAAGTACAAGGGTACAGAACCCCTGGTCCGTTGGTAGAGGGCAGGAGGGATAGATGGATGTCTTTCCCTCCTGCACGATCAAAGGTCTGATCGATCTGTCCCAATACCTGAGCCCAAACGGCCAGGCGCAGGAGAAGTGAGGATAAGGAGTATATATGAGGGTATTACACGGGTTCTATTCACACACCCCGTCCCGAATCGCGCCCGTGAGGGTAGGACTCGGGAACAAAGGAAAAGAATCCGTCACCCTTTTACTCCTTCAATCCTCAGGTCTGCAGGCAGCTGAGCGCAAAGTCAGTATAGCCTCAGCTGCAAAGTAAGGTAAGAAGGAACACCCAGGGTCCCAATTTCTTCGCCAAGCACGCTTTGGCGCCCCCTCGGTGCGCCCCCCAAAACGCTTCGGCACTCGAGGGCGGAGAAGAATGAGACACGGGTGGGCGGAGAAAGAGGATCTGAGCAAGTTAAAGCAACTTATAATCTGCCTCGCCTATGCAAGGCAGATGTTGCCACCAGCTGTCAGATCAATCTCAACGCAATGGAGTTAGACTGTAAAGGATATGCAATCAGAGATCGTGCTGATGAACACGATCGTGTTTCAAAACGCATCTATATATCAAAGCAAATGTCTGGCCAGACGAAAGGTCGTGTTGATGAACACGAAAGTTGCATGTATGTAAATTCTCTATATGGCGACTCCCGTTGGCGTTGCTCCTTGGGAGGCCGCCTTGGTCATCGCAAAAGATGTGTGTATGTGTGGCCACTTGTATTGTATAGTGAAGTGGCCTAGAAGTATATGATAGCCACCGCTCAAGGCGAACTTGTATTATAATGAAGTTCAAGCCTTTCGAGCGGTGGGCCTTGCGGCCGACTCACTACGCGCTGCCGTTCTCGTAGAACCTGCGGTCCCACATCCTGTGGCCATCGTGCGTCACGTAGCTCGTCGTGAACGTCTCCCAAGATGTCCTCGGGATCCAGTGACGAAACCACTTGTTGTACTGGATGTCGCGGATGTATACGAACTCGTCGTTATTGAGCGCGATGTAAATCCAGCAGTTGATGTAGTAGCTCCAATACCTGAGGCCCCAATGGCGTCCTCTAGGTCGTCGCGCCACCAGGCGGCGTAGTCTGTCGTACGTGCCCTCTTGGCGCGAGGTCTGGAGCTGTCATCGCTATCCTGCCGCTGCGCTGCAGTGCCGCGCGCCCCCGCGAGCGCGCGGTCATCCGCGCCAGAGGCGCTGGGCCGTGCAGCATCGCCAGGGGCAGGGCGCGGCGGCGGCGGATGGCGCGGCTCCATGGCAGCATCAGAGTGTTGGGAGTGTGTATCAGGTTCAATCGGATCGGTTCTCATCCCTGAATCAACCCCCCTCTGGTCGGTGTATGTCGGATCGGCAGAACCCAACAACTCGTGAGCAAGCGCGGCAAGCTTGCGCTGCGTGACTTTCTCACGGGTGCCACCCCCCCTGGGGAGGGCAATCGTGGCAAGTCCGCGAGCCTGCCGCGTGCGTCTGTCGAGTCTGCCTTCGTTCAACCACCACTTCTTCCGACCAGCTTGGCCTGTCCTGATGCTGGTCTCGAGAAACTCACATGCATCACGCATGTCCTCAACGGTCCAGGCCTTCTTGCCCACGTTAACGCGAGCGCCTGTCATTTGGTGGTGGAACTTCAAAGCATTGAGAAAACGCTGAACGAGATTGGCAGATGGATGGTATAGAGGTCTGTCGTCTTCAGCCTCGCCCATCAGTCTGCACTCGTGTGCAGGAGGGCGGCCAGAGTCGACCCACTTCTGATACCTCTTCCTAGCGGAATTGGCCATTCTCCTCAGCGCGTCGTTCTCATTGCCTGGAAATGAGCGCTTGCCCGTCATGGTGACTTGCGCTCCGTCTCTCATGTACCTCGTGATGTCGTCCTGGGAGAGCGTCGTCCTGATCCAGTTGGTCATCTTCTGAAGGTATGCTAGGTCGCTCTGGACGGCTGTACTTTTACCCGTAGCACCTACAGATATAGTGCACTGCCAGCAGATGTCACAAATGGTACCACCATTTGTAACGATCCCTAGGGATCAGGTGCGATCGCAATTCCGACATCGCGCGATATCATGCTGGATAGTTTCTGGGGCTCCCTCAGTTGTGAGGTGCTCACGAGATCCCCAGCGAGTATCCCGACCACGAGCAAGACTGCGGCCGATCTGATCCATGGCATCGCGGTTGATCTCAGCATTCGGTCGGGAAGCGATTGATCTACTCAATCCCTCGATCCCGATCCTAGACAATCTTTCCCCTGACAGTCCTATGCGCTCTGTCGTGTCGTTGTCCGCATCCTCAGCATCACCATGACATGCGTTCTCAGTACGGAGACGGCGAGCCTCCTCCTGCAAGGCGGACTCGTTGTCGCCCTCCTCGCGGTTGACCCCCGTCTGCTCGGCTATGATCCGTACCATGGTTTCTTGATCAGGAGCTGCGGATGCAATGCTGTCTGGGTCCTGGGGAATGTCCTGCTCTGCGCCTGGTTCACGTGGCGCGGCAGGTGTTTCCACCAGCTCCGTCCATACGGGGAAGCCTGGATTGCCGAATGTCTTGATGCAGTGTGTAAATAGACCACGCAACGTTTGGAGTGCGGGATGATTCGGATGGATAGCATCTTTTGTGAAGTCACGGAGCTCCGCAATACTGTCCAGCAATATGTTTTGATACACTTTGGGGATCCATTGAAAGACGCCTGTAGCCGACTCCTCGATGGTATCTGGGTCCAGGTAGTGCACCAACTTTTTGAAGAGGCGATCTGCACTGCAAATTGGTAAGTCACGTGCCCATTTGTGGGTATGATTATAATCCAAATAGTACGTCCCTGCGTTCCATGCTTTGGATCCGAATTGAACGTCAAATTGTAAGTACGACTGTACTTTATCCACCACAAATCTGTCCACGCCAGTGTGCACCTCAATGATTTGCTTCATCTTTATCATAGGTGAGTCTACCAAAAACTCCGACACCCAGCGGTATATGCAGTGGTCGTATGATTGTCTGGTCCACCTTGTTTCCTCCTCTGGGTCGTACTCGGGGTGATTGAGGAAGTCATCTGGCGGGTCAATAACGTTGTCGAGGATGCTCGCGTCGACGTGCTCATCTGCTTGGATCTCTGCTGATAGATCTGCTTTCATATTGTCATTTGCCATTTTTTCTTCGGCAGTGAATGGTATGTTTGATATATCCACAATAACGGTAACCAGAGGTTCGGCAGATTGGCCTGCCGTTTGTTGGGGCCCATCGTCCGCGGGAGCAGTATCCTCGGCAGGTGTGGCCACCAGCTCTTCGGGATCGGGTGTCCGAGGAGCGGGCCGTCTGGTCGGTGTACGTGGGATACGTGGCTTATAAATGCTCGGCATGCCGAGATATGGCAGATCACCATCTGTTTTGTGCTGAAGTATTTTGTCACGGCATGAGGATGGTCCTTCCAAGGCAGTATTCATATGTGTCGGGTCAATGGCATATTTGTCGGCACGGATTGGTGAAGCAAAGACAACGCCCTTGAGAGGCATGCTTTTGTCATTGTACCATATGTTTACCCATCGTAAACCGTAGTTGAGGATAGGTATTTGTACCGCAAAGAACTTGTCAAAGACTCCGAAATGAATGATTGGGCCGTATATGTGGCCCTTGTTCATGAGGACCTTGGTTTTGTGATTGCCCTTGGGGTAGTGATTGTCGTAACGACAACAATTAATAGATCCCCAATTCTTGGTGACGATGAAGCCCCCCATGCAAACATCATTAAATGTACGCCGACGATCCCAATCTTTCTGCGTAATCTTTGATGTAATGGGTCGAAGAGCCTCTCGGCAGCATGACATAGCAATTAACCATTATTTATCTTCTGTTTTGTGGTCGGTGTCGTCGATCATAGCACGGACCATTTGTTCGTCCAAGGCGTCGGCGCCAGATATGCGGCCAGCAGGGGTTGCCCCCAGCTGAGGGGCAATCGGTCGCTGAGCCGAAGATGCTGATGCTGACGGCGTCCTTGGCTGCTGATCCATGTCGTGATCCATGTTGGCTGGTGTAATCCCAGGAGGGCTATCGATGAACTCCTCTCCAGGAAGATAGGCGCAAATTTCGCACTTGCTCACTGGTTGTCTCGCGGCCAATGGCGGGTAGTCCCAGGAGGAGCCCTCCGGCCATATCTGCTGGCCGTGCACGTGGCGCGGTTGGAGACGGCGAATTGTAATGATTGCCGCTGCTGGAACCACGTCCTCTGTCATAATAGCACCTTGAGCGCCCAACCAGAATCTGCAACCAGCTTTTGTGGCGATCTCCATGTCGATCACCAGCTCGACCTCGTTCTTGTAGTGATTGAACTTGTATGACTCTACCGAGGTGTGGGGATTCTTCTGGGCATTGTCTATATATGTGCTGGAACTGAAGAATGCCTCCGTGCGTTGTGATGGTTTATGATGCCTGTCTCTCTGAGAAGATGGATCGACGTAGCCTGGAATGATCCCTGTCTTGAGGATGTTGCGCCAAGCACGGAATGTCGCGCCATGGTGGAGGTATTTCACGTCTGTCCATTGTAGGCTCTCCCAGCCCATGCCCCATGGTTTGGAAAGTGGGTTGACGCAACTGTGGCCTCCAACACATCGAATGGCAATAACGCTGTTCCAATCGAAACAGCTGGGA